TTTGGTTGTTTTTGAATCCATAACATTAGTGTGTTTCTTTGCCAGAAACATTAGCAGTTCATATTATATTTGGATTTTAAATAGGATTTCATTTAAAAATAAACACGGATGCTTGTCAGAAATTCAGAGCTATTGAAATATGTTATTTAGTTTACCTAAAGATGTTGAGGTTCTTATTTAGTTGGCACAGTCCAAGTATTAAGATTCTGAAGCTGCACTGGCAGATAGGAGGTCTACAATTAATTGGAAAACCTGTTCACAGACGGCTGTTGTTTCAAGACAACCCCACCAACAGGCTCCAAGTGGGTCAAAACAGCTGAGGCGTAGGCTTGAGGGGAGTTGTATCAGATTTCTCCACACAGGTCGCTGGCGCCAAAAAGGGGGACCCGAGAAGCACGAGGCCGACAGCAGAGTTCGTCTGGCTGAAAGTCATCAGGACAAAGTGGCTCAACCCCAGGCTCTCCGACCCCGACCGAGTGACCCAGCGGACCTCTTATGCCGTCTGCCTGGGAGAAAAGGGGGACAGCTCGTACCACGGGAGCCAGTGTGCGGCGGGGAAACCACCTACTAGGACCAGGGGACGACATCAGGACGGACGTGGCCCTGGCAGACGTGGACTACTCGGGAAGCAGCAGACTGGAGGAGCAGGACCCTGGAGACAAATCTCTACAGCATCGACCCGGAAGCCGCCATCAGCGGGCCGGAGGACGAGGAGGAGGAAGACATCTCTCTAGCAGGCAGCCCAGAAGCTGCTGTCAGCGGATTGGGGGACAAAGACACGGCAAGCCAGGACGGCACAGGGGACTTGTCGAGGCAGCAGAGGAGTCTACTTCGCTCTGATCAGTTCTACCCGTGAAGGGAAAGCTGCATCTCCCCCTCCCTATTAGCTGTCCTTGTGGGCTATTCCTCCGAGGGGGGGGGGGGGGGGGGGGGCTGATGATTCTAGCACTCAGCTACCCCCTCATGGTTCCTTCACTGCCATGGAAAGTGGTGTTCTGTCTCCATGAAGGTTTCAAGTACTCTAAAATACTAGCTTCGGATGGATTTACGGACACAGTAGAAAAGAATGACCGTGGGTATATTTCAAAATGCCTTGTCTAAGTTTATCTCTGGAGAAGGAGATAAAAAGGGGGATTTGTAGAGTTATATTTGTATTTATTCATGTTAGCAAACTATGGATAAGCTTAAAATGGGAATAATTTGGGTAAAACTGTGAGCTGGATTTGGGGCCTGTTGACATGTGTTTTTGAGGACAAAGGAAGATGGGGGAAGGTGAGAGCATGTCCTGATTTGCATTCAACTTAGATCTAGCTACAGTGGTTTGTGATATTAAGAGAGGTCCCTTGGGTTTCTCTGGTGCTTATCAATAGTAGCAGTTAAGTGAATACTGTTCAGACAATACCTGTGTTTGTGTTTTATATTGATTTCTCTGTTTTATCCTTTCATAAATGTAAGGACTACAAATGGCTATAAACATTCTGGGCTGGTTGGAGTAAACAGGGTTTTATTGCTCTGTGGGGGAGGTGTAGGTATGCAGGCCTTGAGACCTTTTGTTGGAAAGTGAGCCTGTTTGGTTTCCTGCTGCGTTTCCTGCTGCGTTGTGTCTCCCAATGAGATGACCTGAAAAGATGACCAGCTGACCTAACACCAAACCCCTCCTTCTTACTCTGGTATATATCCGGTGGATCCCTGGCGTTCGGCCTCTTCTTCACATGCTGCCCTCGGGTGAAAGTAGCTCTGCAGTATGCGAACCAGGGCAGGAGTAAGCCGGCATTACTCCTTAAGCATTACAATATAACTGTAATATATCATGTTGTACTGTAATGATTGTATTGCATTGTCATATTGCCATTAAAGTAGATTATTGTTAACGGTTACTTTGTAGATATGGATTCCTTCCTGTATTATAACCAGCTTCATAGGAACGCGCGGAGATTTGAAAAGCGGACCAGATATCCCTCCAAATCCCCAACAATACTCGCATTTTAGACTCTGTTACTAACTGTATATCTGTAGACTTGGTATGTCTTAAATGTCCGGTTAGGATGTATTAGAACGAAATCTAAAATGAAAATTGTAAATAAGCCATCTGTATGTCTTATATGTCTTAAATGACATGATGAATTGGAAATGGGGGACCCTGATGTAAACAAGACGAAAGTCTTTCTCTGGTCTGCATCCCCTTAACAATTGTATGTTTTGAGCTGTACTGTACTGTACCCAATATACAAGCTGTTCATACACTTCTCAATCAATCAAAGGTTAGCAGCGCTCAATGAAACCTCCGTTAAACTCTAGATTGATATGCTATAACGTTACCCACTAGAGTTTAAGGCTCACTTTCTGTCATTATATAATCTAATCTCGGGTTAACCAGCTCATTACTGCTTGTGTTTACCGTTACATTACTCTAACAATTGATAGTACAGTCCGTGTCACGTTATCACTTTGATCGTTTTAATGATATTAACTTGACGTTATTCATGTCCCTCGACCTTCTATTTTGCATTCAAAAACAGAATATCGTGTATAAATACATACATATACCACACATTGATACATAATAATAGAAAGTACAAGTATAAACGTGTATTATTTGTGACATGTCTTCTCTACTGTTGATGTGTTTTATACTGCACGTGTATAGCCTATATTATTTGCTGTTTCTTTTATTCAAATGTAATTGTGTCAATACTTTATTCCAGCATTGTAATGCCTGAACACAGTGCTAACATAAGAATGTCCCAATTTGGGATAGTAATAAAGTATCTATCTATCTGGTATAACCAATGTTAGGGTATCAATTACCTCATAAAAACATGTTTTGGTATACAAGTTCTGTATGTTGTGTTTGTCTATGCTGTCAGGCATTACAGTGAGAACCAGAGATGGCGACACCACTTTCTCCGCATCCTCAATCCCCAAGCTCCAGGGGATCGACAGCAGGCTGTTGCGGTGCCATCGAAAGAGGCCCGTTGCTATAGGGATAAGGGAAAGGCTTTTCCCACACCTCCGGTGGAGCTGCTCAGTGAGGCCACTGCCATGGCCAAAGCAGAGAAGCTCCTTCGAGCCAAAGGGACCCATAAGCCCTCACGCCAGCAGTGCCTGGGAATGCTGGTCTTGCCATTTGGCAAGTATTTGAACGCACCGTTTCACTGGCTAGTGGCAAATGACGTGGGCTACATAAAGTTGTAAGTATATTATATTTAATGCAATTGTTTGCTAAGTATTTGAATACCATTTTTGTTGTCACGATTATAATGAATATGTATTGTGTTAAACCATGGCTATTATAAAAGTTTAGTACTCATCTTTACAAAGTTCCTTTTCTCCTCATCACAATTGCAGTGCTATTATGATGATGACACTAAATGGATGTTTATTATTGCAGTCTGCTTGATAAGCACAAAGCAGAAGTGGAAGACCCACACCGGAAGGGAGATGTGGGGAACCGGTGGGTAAAAGACTTCCTCACACATTATGCAGAGAGCTTCCCACAAGTCTCCTGTCTCCTCGAGGCCAATGTGGACAGGTGCATCTATGGCCAAAAGGGATTTGAGAGCAGCACCTTTCTGGAGGTGTGGGAAGTTTATGCCCAGTACCAATCCCAAAAGGACAGCCCTGAGAAATTCAGTGATGTCCAGAGGGAAAGGATACAGAAGGCATATAGTTCTGTAAAGAGGTGGTTGAACACCCCAGTGACCCACATTACCAGCGTGCCGTTAAAGAGGTTCTGGAAATACATAAAGGACAAGGAACAAGTAAGTGTTTCATTGATTATATCATGTGTTATCACACAGGAAGAGTTGAAAATCATGGTCACATCATACTGTCATATCGATAACAACTGTTCAAACTACTGATATTTGAAGCACTCCTCTGCTAAATGTGTTTTATTTTGTTTTCACTAACCTCAGACGAGAATGCAGATCCTCGTGGCCAGGGAATGATGCTGACCTGGTAGCTGCGAGCCAGGCTGTGGAAGAAGGCAAGTGAGACACAGTTAATATATGAAAGAAAACATGTAAAAAAAACAATAATCCTAATTCAAATGTGCTTTGTTTGGTACATTTTTAGATTATGCTCAAGAGAAGGCCCAGAGAAACTGCTTATCGACCTGGAGGCTCTGCTGTCCGGCCGCGAAGCTGCTGGCCGCCCGGCCTGCTTCTGCCCCGGCCCTGCTGCTGCTGCTGCTCCTTCTGTCCAGACCTGCTCCTAGATGTCCAGCCTGCTGCTGCTGCTCCTGCTGTCCAGCCCTGCTTCCATGCTGTCCAGCCTGCGCCTGCTGTCCAGCCTGCTCCTGCTGTCAGCCTGCTCTGCTGTCCAGCCTGCACGCCCTGCTTGTCCCAGCCTGCTCCTGCTGTCCAGCCTGCTCCTGCTGTCCAGCCTGCGCCTGCTGTCCAGCCTGCTCCTGCTGTCCATGCCTGCTCCTGCTGCTCGCTGTCCAGCCTGCTCCTGCTGTCCAGCCTGCTCCTGCTGTCCAGCCTGCTGCTGCTGCTCCTGCTGTCCAGCCTGCTCCTGCTGTCCAGCCTGCTCCTGCTGTCCAGCCTGCTGCTGCTGCTCCTGCTGTCCAGCCTGCTGCTGTCCAGCCTGCTCCTGCTGTCCAGCCTGCTCCTGCTGTCCAGCCTGCTTCTGCTGCTGTGAAGGCAAAGAAGCAAACATCAAGGCACAAAACCTCTGCTAGCCATCATCCAAAAACCCCAGAAGTCACTCCTGTGCAGCCTGCAGCCCCTGCTGACCCAGATATGTCCCCTTCGACATCCACGGCTTGTGACCTTCCGATGGCATCTCACCCGAGTGACGCAGAAGTAAAGAATAGTTGTACTAGTGGAAAATTGCTTAATTAAATAAAATGTTATACCATAACTTCTTACCCTATAAGTCTCTAATGTATTCTATGTTATGCGTGTTACAGGTCGATCTAGAGGGCTGAGTGCGTTTGTGGGAGAACCCTGGTGGCATCCCATCTGCCGACATATCCTGGCTCAAAGAGGACACAGAGAGAGGGCTGTTTACCCCCATACAGACCTACAAGGACATCAAAGGTCAGATCAAGAGGCGACGGGTGATGAAATCTGACCGTATATGATTTTATCCCCCGGAACCTCCTGGCTTTGTCGGGGGTGGTCTTCCTACTCCACAACTGTTCTTTAGGAGCCGGGTCTTTGTGTGGCGCCCTGTCGGCGTGTGGAGGTACTCGCTGAAGTGTCCGCGGGGAGAAAACTGTCGGCAGTGGGAGAAATGTGCACCTCTCCAAGTCTGGCTTCCACTCCAAGGTCTAAATTCTCTGACATTACTATACAGTTGAAAATGTGTTTCTATGTATGAAATGGGCACTGAAAGTTTTATGCTGGCCTTCATTTTAATTTCCATGTGTATTTTATAGGTACGTCTCATCTGCGATGTGTCCGGCTGGTACACAGTGATCACAGAGGTCCTGTCCTGTGGACCCTGTACCAAGGCAGCCAGGAGCAAAGAGGGTGTGTCAGTGGGCCGGTGGCTTGCGTGGGATAACGCCATCCTATCCCAGCTCAGCGAGGCTCACCAAGCCATCTTTCCTGCCCTCCTTACCACCATGTGTGTATTTCACATTCTATACCAAACTATGCTATAATGTGTGCATTTAATTTTTTTTTCACTCAAATCAACCTTACAATATCAATTGTGACTCTACTTACAGGCGTGGCGTAGACAGGAATGTCGTGCGCCTTCTGAGGGACAGGACCGAAGGGAACACTATGGAGAAGGTGTGGCGGCAGGTACAGGAGAACCATGTTGAGGAGTACCTGAATCGCAAGGACCTGTACACCACACTCCTAATGAGCATAGCTGCACCCGGAGGGATCGTCTCTGCAATGAGGCAGACATTCCAGGCTCCACCTGCCCAAAAACAGCTCCCCGCAGCGCGGCTCTTGCGCCATGCCTTCCTGCTGGCAGAGGCGAACAATGTGCAGGATTACCGGAGCCAGATCCTCTCCACTTTTGGCACGGTGATGAAGATGGATTCCACCAAGAAAGTATGTAAATCAAAACATAATTCTTTACTGTATGATGCAAATCATATACAATTATCACACAAATGATGATGTTACATATAATGACAATCTATCACAAGTTACCACATTGTGCTTCCTTTAAATAATAATAATAATTCATTTATTCTAAATACATTTCAGGTGGGGAAGAAGCTGTCTGGGCAGGGACGTGGCTCGGCCGAGTGGTTTACCAACATCGGCAAGGAGTACTCACAGATTGTTTCTTTTGTACTGACTTGTGAGGAGTCTGCACAGAAGCTGCAACCCATGTGCCGTGGAGTGATGGAAAGGTTCCGGCTGGCCAATCAACCGGTCCCTAAGATCCTGTACATTGACCGTGGGTGTTGTCGTGCTAAGGCCCCTTCCGCCGTGGAGACAATGTTCCAGGAGTGGTTCGACGGTGGTATGGTTGTGCGCCTGGACATCTTTCACTGGATCCACCGGTTTGACGCAGCCATCCGAACAGACGCGCACAGCAAGTACGCCATGTTCAAGTCCGCTCTGGCCGGGGCAGTGTTGGCCTACAACCGCACCGATCTGGAGCTGCTGATCGAGGCCGTCAGAGCCAAGGACCCGGACACATTCAGGTCCGTGTCGGAACAGGATGTCGTCCGCCTGTACGTCACCAGGCAGCAGGTGCAACACCACGTGCGGAGGGTCACGCTCGGAGCCCAGGAAACGTTCCGGCTCATCCACCTGGCCATCGAGGAGCTGAAGGGCCCGGCTGGGCTGGACCAGAGTGGAGTGAGCCTCTTTAAAACACCTGGTAGGATCTCATACAAAAACATTATTGCAGCTTCAATACAGATGATGATGTAGCATATAAAGTGAGAAAAACAAACTGTATGTATATGTGCCTTTACAGGAGCCATTGATGAGATGTGGGTCGGGCAGCAGAGACACCTGGAGTGCATCCAGGATCCACCAGGGATGATTATGTATAGGGTGGCCCGTACCACAACCATCAACGGTGTGGACCTGCCCTACTACAAAACTCTGCATGGAAGCAACAGCCTGGAGGGATTCCACAAGTCTCTGCCTCACATGATCCCAGGTACACAAGTAGTACACAATATACACGTCTAATAATAAAAAGCACAATTTCAAAAAGCGTAGGAACTGGAAAGCAGTTGGAATTAAAAGCAAATGAATCCTCTTGAAATAGAACATGTCAAATAGGAGAACATTAATCCTTTCAATTGGCCTGTGCATACAAATAAGGTACGCTTCAAAATTGTCCTACGTGTTATTCCAGGATGCAGATAAGCATTTCCCAAGCTCAGTAATAACCAACATATCTAAGCTGATCTGTAGATGGCACACGTTGCCTGCCCATCTCTTTTCTTTTGTGTTGCATCTAATGATGGATTTGGTGTAAACAATAAAACACTAACATTTACACAACAATAAAAGCTTTCCGTTACTCTGCTGCCCTCCTCTTCTCAGGTCCCCATTGTGCAGCACGGCTATATCAGGTTTACCTGATCAGTGGCATCGCACGGTGGAACTGCGACAGGAGCTCCGACGCAGTGTTTGGTGGCAAGGGACGGCGTCACAGGACATACTCAGCGCCTCTCATCCACCGGCTCAACACCCGCTGTCAGCAGCTGTTTGGAGAGACTGTAGAGGAGAATCTCCGGGCCCCCGCTGAGGTGGATTCCCACGAGCTGCTGGGGTTGGAATCCCTCTTCAGCCAGAGCATGGTGAATCCGAATCTGGGCCCTTTTCACGGGAGGACATCATCCACGATGGCCCCGGTCCAGACGAGGAGGTGGTTCAGCCCGGGCAGCCTACTCCAGATCCCGAGGTACCAGAGCGACGGGGAGTCACATTGTGAGGGAGACCATGTGCTGGATGCCATCCTGCCCCACATCACACTCGTCACAGACTAAACCTCCAGTGTCAACCCGCCCGCTTTTGTAAGTGACTTGGTGTCTTCTAGAATGAAATTAAAATGCACTGTATCAGTGGTCAATGTATCCATTTCAACTTCCCACATTTTCCATGTCATTTCTTTAACAGGAGGATGCCTGCAGTCAAAACCCTCTTCCCGGCTTCCAGCAGTTGGAGAGGTTCTGCTCGCTGCTGGTGGACATTGGGCTCGTAGATGACAAGCTGTCCCTTGTCACCGAGCAGAGGAACGCGATCCTGGTTGCCTGGACCAAAGTGGAGGACCACGACAAACGGCAGCAGCAGTTCAACGAGTTGTACAGGACGCACTGGGGCAACACCCTGTACTGCCGCACTAAGCGCCACAACCTCGTTGATGCTGCTGTCATACAGCGTGTGAAAATGGGCATACGCTATGCACCGGCACGGCAAGACATTAGCGCGCAAAACAATAGGCTGATGTACACGTTGGTCAAACTGCTGTGGCTGAGGTCGCCGCAGGGTTCGCGCACGAGCCCCGAGAAGACCACCGTCTTAAAGGCGTACGAGAGGATCCAGCACCGGGTTTTGGTGGACGACCCGATCCTCTGCAAAGCTGGCTTTCCTCTGCCGAAGATCAACGTCAAGACGGTGCGGGACTTCATCCGGGCTTAAGAGCGCCTCCTCAACCTGCGATGCTGTCCAAGACCACTTCGGTTTCCTCTGCCGACTTGCCTCCAGCCCCACACCAGCCAGCAGTCCTCCCTCCACCAGACTACCCCCTGATGCAGTATGTGCCCACACCCAGTACGGCAGGGACAAAATTGTTGAAGGGAAGGAGGGACATGATCCTCTGTCACACCCTCAGACATCACTGCCGCCACCTGTGTCACTGCCACGGCCACAGTCGGTAAGACCGACCCCAGCCCCCAGACCTTTGCCCTCCCCCTCTCCATCCGCAGCAACCCGGGCGATTGCTGGCCCCTCCACAAGGCCCATCGTGCCTGCTGGACGTCCCATACTGCCTGCCACAAGTACCGTCGCCAGACCACCCGTGCCCTCCCTTTTCCCTGGCCCCATCCTGCCGCCTGCCAGTCAGCCAACCCCAGCCATTGCTGGCCCCTCCTCAATGCCTGCCACACAGGCTGGTCTGGGTGCGTCCGTCCCCCCGACAATGCCTACAGAGTGCAGTCCTGCATCCTGGGCGAGGTCCACGCTATACAAGCTCAAGGCGACAGACGAGCCCTCGGGAGTAGGAGCCAAAGTGTCCCGGGTTCAAAAGCTGCCGTCGTGCACGTGCTGTGGCCAACCCACTCAGGGGCACAACAAGTACAGGCGCAAGGTCTTCTGCCCTGTGAAGAGGATGTCTTCTTCAAAGGGTCTGGAGAAGAACACAGTTTACAACAGTTACAAACATTTTACAGCTGTTGTTATGTAAATATTGTAAATAGTAATTTAATTGTTTTTAAACTTGCTGTGTTATCATTTTTATATTTTCATGTTGAGTTTTATATTTATTATGTATATTGTAAATACTTTTCATTTATATATACCTCATTAATGTAAATACTTTTATGTACATGTTACTTGTTAGACGCTTTTATCCAAAGCGACTTACATACTCAATACTGTGGGGTGAAGTGTCCCAACATGCTGACGGCAGTGGGGTTTGAACCTGTGCTCCCCTGATCCCAACACCAACGCACTGCGCCACAGCCTCCCTGTACATAATTGTACATCTGATGTGTATCCACTTTAGCTTTTTTACCTGTGTTTATGTTGTTGCTGTTGCCATCCTTTATACTGAGTCAATGAAGGTGAATGGTTGCTCAGGAAAAGTCCTAAAGAATCCAACTGGGTTCAATAGCTGGATCATTCCTGTTCTTCGTCTGCAGTGGAGTGAGATCTCGTTGTTGTTGACTTGCATAACAACAAATGTTAGTTTACAAGAAGTCCCCTAACATTTGATTCATACCTGCTGATGACAAATAAATCCTGGGATCTACAAAAGTGAATGTGTTTCAAAGCATCTGATTTGTATCCACTTGAGCTTTTGTACCTGTGTTTACCTTAGTTTATGCTGTTGCCATCATTTATACTCAATCAATTAAATATTTTGCCAGAAAGGTCAAACTTTAGGAATACAGAGCAGTTCTTATCATGCCATAACCATAGCCGTGGAGGCAGTGCCAACTAAAATATAATATTGGTGACAAAACACACAGAGCCATCAGTGCAATTGTTACATTCAAATGTCTCTGATATTATAGGCTTTAATTATCTATTTATTATATGTAAATACTTGTATGTACATAACAAAATATGAATTATTGAATGGAATAATGGGGATTCATTTGTTTATCTAAATATAGGGACAAAGGTAGAGTGCCACATTACTTGCACAGTACACAATGTTCAGATGACTGCCCAAAAGCAAACACTTAAGTTGCTTGAGTCAGACTCAGAAATATTAAACCACTTTAATCAGACTCAAGTCATAAGGAAATCCATAAAGATATCTCACTGAAGAAAAGACACATTTGAATGAAATAAGCTTTATTTCAATGGTCACGAGGACGTCCCGCACAAACATACGTGGCCGTACTCAAGAACGACGCAGGAGCACAAAGTACCAATGAACTGGCCAGATGTATGGAGAACCGGGATGACTGGAAGCGATGATGGAGGGCTCGTCTGAGGACGACCTAGAGAGAGAGAGAGAGAAACAATAAGTACATTAATGAATAAATAACATGAATTATGTGTGTACAAATATACATATAACACAAAACAAGTCTGTGCCTTTAGAAAGATAGAAGTGACATGTAAATAAATGTCATTAGGGAGAAGAAATAATTCTCACATCTGATTGAAAACTACAGTAATGGGAATAAACAGTAATGGGAATAAATCCAATGATATACTTTAATAATAATACAATTAATAATGACAGAAAACAGTGATGCTATCAATTAAATGCAAGGTGCTCTCTTATTAATACATTTGTTGAAAATAGACCTAGTATACTATATCAACTGATTGATTGACGACAACAACATCAAGGTGTTCACATCACACTACGACCACACGAGGGAGCCAATATCCTCATTGGCATTCTGTCAATATGTAAATGATCTGAAAGTGTCCCCTCCCATCAAATTTCATTTTTCTTTTCCTAAAGATTCGGTCCAATGGCGTCCCTCGCAATTGCACTCCAGTAAGGCCGATCGCCTACACACCAGCACAACAGGACATTAGTGCAATGCACAACATGCTTATGTACACGCTGGTGAAACTGCTGTGGTTGAAGTCACCACAGGGTTCTCGCACAAGCCCAGAGAAGACCACTATCTTGAAGGCGTACGAGAGGATCCAGCACCGGGTTTTGGTGGACGATCCCGTCTTGTCTCAAGCAGGCTTTCCGCTGCCAAAGATAAACATTAAGACGGTGCGTGACTTTATCTGCGCTCAAGAATGCCTCCTCAACCTGCGTGCGACCAACCAGCCAGCGATGCTCTCAAAGACCACTTCCGTTTCCTCTGCCCACTTGCCTCCAGCGCCACACCAGCCAGCAGTCCTCCCTCCACCAGACTACCCACTGATGCAGCACGTGCCGACACCCAGCACGGCAGGGACCAAGTCATTGAAGGGAAGGAGGGACATGATCATGCCTCTCTCACACCCTCAGATATCACTGCCAGCTGTGCCACGGCCACCAGCCCTTTGCCCTCCCCCTCTCCATCCACAGCAACCCGGTGATTGCTGGCCCCTCCACGAGGCCCATCGTGCCTGCCATTGCTGGACGTCCCATACTGCCTGCCACCAGTACCATTGCCAGACCTGTGCCCTCCCTTTTCCCTGGCCCCATCCTGCCTGCCAGTCAGCCAACCCCAGCCATTGCTAGCCCCTCCTCAATGCCCTTACTGCCTGCCATTCAGGCAACCCCGTCTGCTGATGTGTCTGTCCCCACTACTCTCGAGTGCATTCCCTCATCCTGGGCAAGGTCCACGCTTGACAAGCGCAAGGGGATGGACGAGCCCTCGGGAGTAGGAGCCAAAGTGTCCCGTGTTCAAAAGCTGCCGTTGTGCACGTGCTGTGGCCAACCCACCCAGGGGCACAAAAAGTACAGGCGCAAAGTCTTCTGCCCTGTGAAGAAGATGTCTCCATCAAAGTGTCTAGAGAACACAGTTTACAACAGTTACCAACATGTTACAGCTGCTATGTAAATATTGTAAATAGTCATTTAAATATTTTTCAACTTGCTGTGTTATCATTTTTATTTTTCATGTTGAGTTTTATATGTATTATGTATATAGGCAGGTCACTCCACAGAAACCGCTCTCATTGCTGTCACGGAGGAACTGCACACTGCCAAAACTGCATCCCTCTCCTCTGTCATCATCCTGTTGGACCTGTCTGCTGCATCCGACACGGTGAATCATCAGATCCTCCTTCGCACTCTCCAAAAACTTGGAGTTTCAGGCTCTGCACATTCCATCCTCACCTCATACCTGAAAGACCGTACCTACAGGGTGACTTGGAGAGGGTCTGAGTCCGACCCTTGTCAATTAACTACAGGGGTCCCTCAGGGCTCTGTTCTTGGTCCCCTCCTCTTCTCCCTGTACACAAACTCGCTCTGATCTGTCATTAGCCCGCATGGTTTTTCTTACCACTGCTACGCTGACGACACCCAATTAATTCTGTCCTTTCCCCGCTCAGAGACCCAGGTCGTCGCACGCATCTCTGCTTCTCTAGCGGACATCTCTCAGTGGATGTCTGCTCACCACCTCAAGCTCAACCTTGACAAGACTGAGCTGCTCTTCCTCCCGGGAAAAGATTGTCCCACTCTTGACCTAACAATCAACATCGGCACCTCAGTTGTTTCCCCGACTCAGACTGCAAGGAATCTGGGTGTGACCCTAGATAACAACCTGTCCTTCACTGCAAACATCGCTGCTACAACCCGTTGCTGCAGATACACGCTTTACAACATCAGGAAGTTACGTCCCCAGCTGACACAGAAAGCCACACAGGTTCTGGTCCAGGCTCTCGTCATCTCACGCCTAGACTACTGCAACTCCCTCCTGGCTGGTCTACCTGCATGTGCCATCCGACCTCTGCAGCTCATCCAGAATGCAGCGGCTCGTCTGGTCTTCAACCTTCCTAAATGTTCCCACACCACTCCGCTCCTCCGCTGCCCTTCACTGGCTTCCGGTAACTGCTAGAATCCACTTCAAGACACTGGTACTTGCTTACCATGCTGCGAATGGATCTGGCCCTTCGTACATCCAGGACATGGTTAAACCGTACACCCCAGCGCGTGCACTACGCTCTGCATCAGCCAAACGACTCGCTGCGCCCTCGCTGCGAGGGGGACCCAAGTTCCCATCCAGCGAAAACACGTGGGTTTGCTGTCCTGGCTCCAGGATGGTGGAATGAGTTCCCCATTGACATCAGGACGGCAGATAGCTTGCACATCTTCCGGCGCAAACTGAAAACTCATCTCTTTCGACTCCACTTCGAGCGATAGAACTATTAACGAAGCACTTTTATACTAATAAAGGACTGGCTTATCTAAAGCCAGTTGAGTAGCACTTGAAATGTTTTTGCTCTATGAAGCCTGATGTACTTATATGATTCTGTTTTCTTCAAGTTGTATTTTGTTGGTCGAACGCACTTATTGTAAGTCGCTTTGGATAAAAGCGTCAGCTAAATGCAATGTAATGTTATGTATATTGTAAATATATATACGTCATTAATGTAAATTGTTTTATGTACATTACATGTTCGACGGTTTTATCCAAAGCGACTTACATACTCAATACTGTGGGGTGAAGTGTCCCAGGGACACAACGACATGCTGACTGCAGTGGGGTTTGAACCTGTGCTCCCCTGATCCCAACACCAACGCACTGCGCCACAGCCTCCCTGTACATAATTGTACATCTGATGTGTATCCACTTGAGCTTTTTTACCTGTGTTTATGTTGTTGCTGTTGCCATCCTTTATACTGAGTCAATGAAGGTGAATGGTTGCTCAGGAAAAGTCCTAAAGAATCCAACTGGGTTCAATAGCTGGATCATTCCTGTTCTTCTTCTGCAGTGGAGTGAGATCTCGTTGTTGTTGACTTGCATAACAAATGTTAGTTTACAAGAAGTCCCCTAACATTTGATTCATACCTGCTGATGACAAATAAATCCTGGGATCTACAAAAGTGAATGTGTTTCAAAGCATCTGATTTGTATCCACTTGAGCTTTTGTACCTGTGTTTACCTTAGTTTATGCTGTTGCCATCATTTATACTCAATCAATTAAATATTTTGCCAGAAAGGTCAAACTTTAGGAATACAGAGCAGTTCCTATCATGCCATAACCATAGCCGTGGAGGCAGTGCCAACTAAAATATAATATTGGTGACAAAACACAGAGCCATCAGTGCAATTGTTACATTCAAATTTCTCTGATATTGTAGGCGTTAATTATCTATTTATTATATGTAAATACTTTGATGTACATCATTTAACTACCACTGGTGTTTTCAATTGAATGCACTTTATACAATAAAGTGGTCAGTGCTACAGTAACAGTGAGTCGTGAAATATGAATTATTGAATGGTGATTAATTTGTTTATCTAAATATATGGACAAAGGTAGAGTGCCACATTACTTGCACAGTACACAATGTTCAGATGACTTTGCCCAAAAGCAAACATTTAAGTTGCTTGAGTCAGACTCAGAAATATTAAAACACTTTTAAAATCAGACTCTCGAGTCATAAGGAAATCCATAAAGATATCTCACTGAAGAAAAGACACATTTGAATGAAATAAGCTTTATTTCAATGAGACTTCAATTCAGAAAGACTCTTAACATATAACTACAGCTCTCAGGACATCAGGAGGAGGAAACAGCTGGCTTGGCTCTCATAGTTCTTCAAAAACAATGCAGTGTGCATTCGCTCATGGACTTTAAAAGGTGAATACTTTGAGAAAAAGTTTTCCCACACTCTTCACACCACTATGGTTTTTCTCCTGGATGAATACGTTGATGTATTTTGAGATGACTTGATTGAGCGAAAGTTGTCCCACACTCTTCACACCAGTACGGTTTTTCTCCTGTATGAATACGGTGATGTATTTTGAGAGCACCTGATGTAGTGAAAGTTTTCCCACACTCTTCACACCAGTACGGTTTTTCTCCAGTATGAATACGGTGATGTATTTTGAGAGCACCTGATGTAGTGAAAGTTTTCCCACACTCTTCACAGCTGAACGGTTTTTCTCCTGAGTGAATACGTTGATGTGATATGAGATGACCTGATCGAGCGAAAGTTGTCCCACACTCTTCACAGCTGAACGGTTTTTCTCCTGTATGAATAAGTTGATGTGATTTGAGATGACTTGATTGAGCGAAAGTTGTCCCACACTCATCACAGCTGAACGGTTTTTCTCCTGTATGAATAAGTTGATGTGATTTGAGATGACTTGATCGAGCGAAAGTTGTCCCACACTCATCACAGCTGAACGGTTTTTCTCCTGTATGAATACGTTGATGTGATATGAGATGACCTGATCGAGCGAAAGTTGTCCCACACTCTTCACAGCTGAACGGTTTTTCTCCTGTATGAATAAGTTGATGTGATTTGAGATGACTTGATCGAGCGAAAGTTGTCCCACACTCATCACAGCTGAACGGTTTTTCTCCTGTATGAATACGTTGATGTGATTTGAGATGACTTGATTGAGCGAAAGTTGTCCCACACTCATCACAGCTGAACGGTTTTTCTCCTGTGTGAATAAGCAGGTGGCGCTTTAAAGTTCCAGATGTTGTAAAGGATTTGTCACATTGCTGACAGCTGTGACATCTCTCTTTTCCTTTCGGTTTCTAGAACAGACGGACAGAGAAAGAGAGAAAGTTAATCTAAAAAGCATAAATACTAGGGCTGTCAAGTTAACGCGTTAATAACAAAAAAAATGAACGCCACTAATTATTTTAACGCGATTAATGCATGCATTTAAATGAAAACAGAGGAGCGACATTTCGCCGAGCACTTGACTTTATGCAGGAAGCCAGACAGTGGGACATTGTACGAAAAGTCAGCACACTCAGTGCGACACACACACACACACACACACACACACACACACACACACACACACACACACACACACACACACACACACACACACACACACACACACACACACACACACACACACACACACACACACACACACACACACACACACACACACACACACACACACACACACACACACACACACACACACCACACACACACACACACACACACACACACACACACACCACACACACACACACACACACACACACACACACACACACACACACACACACACACACACACACACCTTGTGAGCTTAAGGCTGTTTGTGTATGTAAATGAGCTGTGCAGTTCCTCTGCTGTCATTGGCCGCCCGGACCGCTCAACATCCGCGGGGATTGGAGAGACGTCGCCCAGAGATGTTCACAAGTCTTTTTTTTGCAAGTCCAAGTCAAGTCTCAAGTCTTTGGTCACGAGTCCAAGTCAAGTCTCAAGTCTTTGTGGGGTGAGACTTGATCAAGTCTCAAGTCTTTGGTCACGAGTCCAAGTCAAGTCTCTAAAAAATAAAAGTCTCATGTCTCTTCTGGTTGTAATAAGCCTTCTATTGTCTGCTGCTATCCAGTCTGTTAAGAATACTGCACAGCTATATCTAAGACATTCAAAGCATTTACTGTATTATTATCACTCCTATATCTATTAGCATACAGTATCAGTACTGATTAGTTGTTTGTTATATGATCACTTTAAACAGGCTATTGCAATGCAATGTGAGGCCAAACATCACACTTTAGCTAAATGCAAACAACTTATAAGCAAAACACTTCAGAATCAGAAATCAGTATCACAAATACTTTATTAATCCCCCGCAGGGAAACTGTGTTAAAAGTACTTCAAAGTAAACATTTGTTCTGTGCCATTTGCAACTAAAAAACTATTGCTGCAATATTATCTGAAATATACTGAACTGGTGATATTAAAACATGACCTGTTCCAAAAGAGATATCTACCATTAACACCATTTACCAGCCAGATGCTGGTAAATCATGCAAGTGGCTGGTACTGTATGTTGCACGCACCAGCCACAAATAACAATGGCAATCTATTGAGTGGCTGGTAACATTTCAACATTCACTAGGCTAGCCATTTGGCCAGTGGACAAAAATGTTAAAATGTGACCTCTGCAACCGTATTGTTGAATTACACTGGGTCTCTAATGACATCTTTTAAGTCTACTATGAATAAACATATTCCTCTATCCTCTCACTCAAACCCAGTGTAATGGTAACCTGATAAACCTGTAACATTAACGTTACGTGGTCAACAATAAACCAGTAACCTGCCTATAAACCGACAGATGTATTTATGTATGTAACTATGTATTTTTCTACGTTTAACGTTAGCCAGTAGATGGTGGCAGCGGAACATAATGATTAACGTTACCGACCTTTTTTATGTCATGTCAAGAGTTGGATGTCAACGCCACTCAACGCAAACAAGTGTGACAAGCAAACATTCACTCATCTTTTCAAATATTCAGTTACAAAGCTAGTAGCAAGCTAAGTTCACATTACATAGCTGATGCTGAGCTAAACATGTTTGCTAACCGTCCATATGCGTTAATGTGACTGACCATGATGTTAATGTTAAAGGTGGGGTAGGTAAGTTTGAGAAACCGGCTCGAGATACACTTTTTGTTATACTCCATGGAATGCTCTTAACATCCCGATAGCCGGCCCGGCTAAAGTAACTGGATGGCCTACCTGCCTGTCAGCCTCCATCGGGGCACAAACTTATCTCGTGCCCTCATTGGTCATGTGCGCGTTCGTGTGTGTTGGAGGAGGGGCTCTGTGAGGAAGTGGCAGATTTTCTCCGGTTGTGTATTTTCAAATTCTAGCGATCTCGAGCCGGTTTCTCAAACTTACCTACCCCACCTTTAATACGCCAAAAATAGAAAACACAATGATTGTTCACGAGTCCCAAAACACGAGTCCAAGTCGAGTCCGAAGTCTTTTGAGCAGGAGTCCAAGTCAAGTCTGAAGTCTCTGTGTGTGCGACTTAAGTGCGACTCGAGTCCGAGTCACAAACTCGAGTCCCCATCTCTGACGTCGCCCAACCCCTGCTCGCTTCTGCCACGTCATCCGGGGGAGGAGTATAAAGACTGAGCACGGACAACAGTCGGGAGGCTCTGTATTTTGTGTCAGATGCCTCAACCCTATCCTTGTGATAAGCCTTCATTCTGTGAATTCTGAGATTTAGCGTGTGTCTTTTGTATTAGCTCCACTGATTAGCAGTGTCTGTAGTAGGGTTCTAGGCGAGCACACTGAGTAGCAGTGTGTCGTCGGGTTCTGTGTTAGCGTAGGGATTTTGTGTGTGTGTATACTGCTTAGATCCAGGTTGGTTAGCACCTGTCGACCCGCACCAGCTGTGTGTTTCCACAGTCCCGTTTTGTTTATTGTTTGTTTCCACTTTAGTAGTGAGATTTGTTTTTCTTTGTGTAGCGGGGCAACTCTCTTTTGGAGACCCCTTGTGTTGTTATATAGTGACAGATTGACCCGTTGTTGGGCCAATCTGTGTGTACATCATTTTACTTAGTTTCAGTCATAAATAAAACCACCGGTAACAAATATACCAAATCCAATCTGGTCGTTTCCCGTTTGACACACACACACACACACACACACACACACACACACACACACACACACACACACACACACACACACACACACACACACACACACACACACACACACACACACACACACACACACACACACACACACACACACACACACACACACACACACACACACACACACACACACACACAACACACACACACACACACACACACACACACACACACACACACACACACACACACACACACACACACACACACACACACACACACACACACACACACCACACACACACACACACACACACACACACACACACACACACCTCCGCTAACTGACAATATGACCAATTAGCTTAAAAAAAACACAAGAGTATTTATTATATATATATATATATATTCGTCTCACTATACAAGTTCATTTTGATTGTTTTTGGAAAAAGTGATGCGTTAATTTCATATAAGCTGTTACGTGCCGTAGTGTTTGTGTGGTCGTGTGTGTGTTTTTCTCTCTCTCCCTCTGACTCCCCAGGTGCAGCCTGATTGTCCCCAGGTGCAGCCTCTCCCCAGGTGCAGCCTCTCCCCAGGTGCAGCCTCTCCCCAGGTGCAGCCTCTCCCAGGTGCTCCCAATCCTCAATCAGGGCCTCCATATAGGACAGGAGGAAGGTTGCTGTCGCTCTCCCCTTCTCCCCGGGCTGGATGTGTGCAGCGTGGTGTCCATGTCTCCAGTATATATTTTTGTAGCTAGATTTGTTTTGCAAGTTGGCTGGTGAGCCGTGTTCCCGTTTTGTTCATGAAACGACTTGTTCGTTACTCAGAGATCGGGTTTTCTCTCCTTTTTGTCGTGCTTGGTCATCCTTGTGTGTTGTTACTTCCCTTTGTACCCCCTAGATTTAGAAGGGAACGTAACATAAGCTGTTGGAATATTCAGGGACTCCACTCCTCAACCTTTGAGGTTAAGAGTGAAAAAAGTCCTTAGAATCTATCAAAGATGTTGATCCAACTATATGAACAGAAACATGGTGATCTGCTCACTCACTGTCCTCCAGGTTATAATGAAGTCATGGTGCCCTCTATAAAATCAAAAAACATACGCAGGGCAGAACATCGGGAGGGATCTTGGTGAGGTATAAAGGAGATCTTTGCCGTCAGATCTCAGTAGTAAAACAAGGTAAATCACACATTTGGCTAAGGTTAGATCAAAGCCTGGGCATAACTGACAGGAATCTATACGTGTGTGCTATTTATATACCCCCAGTAGATTCTCCTTATTTTGAAGAAGACATTTTTGAAACTCTTCATTCAGAAATCGCCTATTTTCAGGCCCAGGGAAATGTGCTTCTAACTGGAGATCTGAACGGACGGACAGGAATTGAACCTGATGTCATAGACCCACAGGGCAGCCACCATGTATTTGGTGAGCCCCCCCTGTTTACCACACCAACCGTCAGCCATCGGAACAGCCTCGACTCTGAAATCAATAAGAATGGCAAAGAGATAGTGCATCTCTGTCGGGCCTTAGGCCTGTACATAGTGAACGGGAGGTTCAGAGGGGACTCTTTAGGGAGGTTCACATACTCCTCAGCTCTAGGGTCTAGTGTAGTAGATCAGTGATTCTCAAACTTTTTTCAGTAATGTTCCCCCTTTGAAAAAGAAATTCAGCCACGTACCCCCAGATCAGCACAAAAACAATTTGTTAGGGAAGAAATGCCTATATAAAGAGGTACAGCACAGCGCTGCACCATCGGTGTCTGATTTATTAAAACAACAACCTTGTAACTGAGAAACACTTAAATGCTACATTTCAAATGTTTACAATCCATCACTAAATTCATGGCAAACCAATTTTAACATCATGCAATAACACTAAGACGACATTAGCTGCATTGAACTGATCTGTTTAATAAGTTGTACTTACAATTTAGTGAGAAACATGGGCTTGAGCTTCACTGAGGATCTTTGTTATTCTCAGTGACAGGAAGGCCACTGCAGTTTTACACTTCGCGTTTTGAAATATGTGTAACTCTGTTAATATAAAACCCACACTGCTCAAACTTCCTTACATTTCCTAAAATTGTTTTTTTTTTTCTTCATTAACATAAAAATAAATCTCACGTACCCCCTGCAG